CTCTGTGAGTTCAAGAGAAGAGGCTCTTGAATCTAAGGTAGAAACTGGTCAAGTGATCAGAAAAGAAGGCAGAGGTAGCTTGAGAGTGCACAGAAGCATTTAGGAAGTTGTAAGTCCCTCAGTCCTTGAGCACTGGTCATGTGAGGGGTCTTTCTTTCATGTAATGGCTTTGTGCCTGTGTGTTTAGAGAACCACTGATTCTAAGCTGAGAAAGATCAAAGCTTGACTAAGTGAAGAGTGGGTTAAAAGGGGAAAATCTGGAGGCCAGGCAACCACAGAAAATCCTTTGGGTAAAAGGTTTATCCAGCTAGCTGTGGCAGCTAAACCAAAAACTTCGTGCAGACATCACAGTTCTTCACTGTCCATGGTGTATGGTGTAGGTGTTCCAGCTCAACCAATCCAATTTGTGATCCAGCCCCATTCCTTGAATTTTTAAGGGTCACAGAATTTGGGGGATGGAGAGGCCTGCTCAGGGTATTCCCTATAGTAGCTGTCAGTGGCCCCTTTTCTACTCTTTCCTCTGTGACCCTGAGGTGTCTTTTAAGAGCTACTAGATAGGATAACCCTTACAGAAACAGCCCAGAGGACGGCATTGGAGATGGTGCACTGAAGAGTCCTGCGCTCATCATAATGGCACATGTGTCTGTGTGCTTGGGGTGGTTGTGGTCTGTAAATAAACGTGTAATACAGTCTTGAGTAATCTTTCAGGGTAAAATGCCTACCTGAAGTCCTGGGGTTGCAGAGCCTTCTGGCAGCTGGAGAATACTCTGAGAAATACCCTGCCTTGCCCTTCCCTGCCTCCAGGGTTCAGAGAACCTAGCCACCAACTCTTCCTAGTACTCGTGCAAGACAAGCTCTCTACCAACTGAGCTATAGCCCAAATACCAGATGCTCTGTTTATGACAGAGAAACCCTCGTGGCCAATTACCTCTCATAGGTCCCAGCCTCTTAACATTGGAATTTTAGTTGTGTGAAACCAGAGGCTACTTCCAGACCCTTGTTGTTGCTGGTGCTTCAGCCTCTCTAAGTGAGGTTTGGTTGGTCTGGCTAAAGAGGCTCTTTGCCTTTCAGGGCTGGGTCAGGATCACTTTCTTTTCTTTTCTTTCTTTCTTTCTTCCTTTCTTTCTTTCTTTCTTTCTTTCTTTTTGTTTTTTTGTTTTTGTTTTTGTTTTTGTTTTTTTTTTTTCGAGACAGGGTTTCTCTGTGTAGCTTTGGAGCCTATCCTGGCCCTCTCTGTAGAGCAGGCTGGCCTCTAACTCAAAGAGATCCGTCTGCCTCTGCCTCCTAAGTGCTGGGATTAAAGGCGTGTGCCACCAACGCCCAACTCAGGATCACTTTCTTACACCTCACTGCCTTCCTAGCATTCTGCTGGCTAGATCAGCACCTGAGGGAGGCAATGGGGCCTGGTAGCCATGCTTCTTGCTGCCTTTGCTAATGACCCACCCGCACAGTTGAGCAGCATGTCTCCTGCCTTCTGTCTGCAGATGTCTCAGTTCATTGTCCAGTGCCTGAATCCTTACCGGAAGCCTGACTGCAAGGTGGGCAGAATCACCACGACAGAGGATTTCAAACACCTTGCTCGAAAGGTACACCCTGCTTCTTTCTGTCTGTCATAGGGGTTCTGAGATACTCTCCTTCATCAGAAAGTGGTTTTATGTGCCAGATGCCAGGGCTTGGGGCCCAGGAATGTGAGGCAAGGTTCAAGGTGGGAAAGTAGGTATCTAAGAAAGAGACTTTGAAAGCTGGTTTCTCCTCCTTGTCCCTGCACCAGCTTGCCCCCACCCACCCTTTGGTTTCATTCATAGCCTGTCCTCTCCCTGTCTAGTCATTTTTCATTTTCCATTCTGATGGTGTCTGTTCTCTCTTCCTTTGCCTTGGACAGCTGACTCATGGAGTTATGAATAAGGAGCTGAAGTACTGTAAGAACCCTGAGGACCTGGAGTGCAATGAGAATGTGAAACACAAAACCAAGGAGTACATTAAGAAGTACATGCAGAAGTTTGGGGCTGTTTACAAACCTAAAGAGGACACTGAATTAGAGTGACTTGCAGGGCCAGAGTGAGCAGTGTGATCGGGAAGAATCCTGTGGCTTCTGCCCTACCCCATGGCCAGGCCTGTACTTACTACTGGTATGATGGCCTGTCATCCTGAGCAGTTCAAACCTGCAGGTGTCAACTGTAAGCCACAAATGAGCTCTATTACAACTGACCCCTAGTTGTGAGCTGTTGGGATGTAATAGTTACAGGCCATTGGAGGCAGTAGCCTAGGGAAGACCTTGGCCACACCTGACCCCATTCTCAAATCTGGGTCTCCCCCTTGGCGGTGCTGTCAGCGCACAGACCCATGCGCACCCTCCCCCAAGACCCTTTACCCCAATGATCTGTATTATATTTTAATGTATATGTGAATATATTGAAAATAATTTGTTTGTTTTTCTTGGTTTTTGTTCAGTTTTTGTTCGCCGTTAGCCTCTATGTGCTAGAATCATGGGAAGACTTTGTAAGGACAGTATAAATTCTCCTGCAAGGTTTAATTTGTTATCATGTAAATATTCCAAAGCAGGCTGCCTTGTGGTTTTGGCCAGCCTTGTGCTATGTTGATAAGATTGATTTACTGCTTAAGATCACTTTACTTTATCCAATTTTTACTGAACTTTTTATGTAAAAAATAAAATCAATTAAAGAACTTGCAATGTGTGTTCCCTAAAACTTAAGTTTGTTTTTGTTGATGTTACTTGGGAGAGAAAAAAAGATGTAGTGGCCACTGGTGTGTGGAGTCCAAGATGAATTATTGCTACTGCTTTTTATTACAAGCTTTGTTCCTACAGGTTTAGACCTCGGGTCTAAGGCTGAGCTCAGGTGAGGCAATTTACAGTCATTCCAGAGCAGAGGAAGCATGACCTGAGACCTCACTGCCATTGGGTTGTTTTATTTAGGTTAACGGGTCAATCAAGAGAAAAGCCAAATGTCTTTTCATTTGTACCCCTGGCCCGAGAGTGTTACTAGATCTTTTTGCCTTCAGACTTCATTTCTCCCAGCCCAGTTTGGGAGAAATAAATGTTTGGGTCCTGGCTTCCCACTTGATTACCTGACACTGGAGAGAAGGCAGTGAGGACAGCAGTAGCAGGGGCTTGGGTGCCAGCATACAGTTCATTATCCTAGATGCAGGCTCTCCTTGGTGATGAGTTTTCTGGGCAGGAAGAAAGTTCATACTAGATTGGGACTGTCTGTTCTCAAGAGTGTGATTCTGCTCACTGCTGCACTGTCTTGGAGGAAGAGGAAAAGGTGGCTAGGCTGAGGGTGTCAGGAATTACAGAACCCCGTTCCTGTGCTCAGCATTTCAACGTATTCATTTAATATGACTCTTTCAGAAATTGGCACTATTGATAAGACTAAGGCAAAGCAAGCATCACTAACTTACAATCCTGTAGTAGAGGGCAAGTCTTCCCTCGCTGCCTCTGGAGGACTGACTACAAATGTGTGGCTACTGAAGTACCTTAAATGAAATGACACAGTTCTTACCTCTTGTCTCAGGAATCTGGATTGCTTCCAGTGCCTAATACCATACCACTGATACACAAAGCCAGTCCATGAGTGTGAACCCTGGATATCAAGGGCTAACTAATGATCTAAAGTCTTTTCCCGACAATCTGTTCATGAAAAATTTACACTTATTGCTGGCTTGGTGACCCTGCAGCTGACTGCTAAAGAGGAGTATGATGTTCCTTGAGTTCTAGTGTGGGCCTTCTCTGGTTTTCCTCCTCGTCCTTGGGGATTAGCTTTAGGCTATTCTTAGGGTGAAGGTAACGTCTTCCCCACTTTCTTTTTTTTTTTTTTTTAAAGATGTTCTCACTGTAGGCCAGGCTGACATCAACCTGTGCCCCTATTGAAGCCTTGTGAGCACTGGGATTACAGATGTGATCTACCATGCCTGGCTGACATTTATTTGAACAAGGACAGGCTGTTAAGCAGCTGTGGTCAACTTTTTTTTGTTTGTTTGTTTTTCGAGACAGGGTTTCTCTGTGTAGCTTTTGGAGCCTATCCTGGCACTCGCTCTGGTGACCAGGCTGGCCTCGAATTCACAGAGATCCGCCTGCCTCCCAAGTGCTGGGATTAAAGGTGTGCGCCACCAACGCCCGGCTAATGGTCAACTATTTCTGAGGCGCAACAGTAGAAGCAACTCACATTAAGCTTCATCCTCACAGAGTAGCCAATGGCAGGAGCATCTCAGTGCAGTGATGGGGGTGGGGAGGTGGGAATCTACTTTAGGCTCTGCTTCACTTTGACTGTACCCCAGGTCTTCTCAGTGAGTCTACATGAACCTAAAGCCATCTGATCCATGGGCACTGGTCCTTCAGAAGGCAGACTAGCCCAGCTACCTGCTCCCACTTGAGGATGGGAGAGTGCGTGGAAGCCCATGTGGTTTGGCTCAGCCGCCCTGTCCAGAACAGCCTGCTTGCCCACTGTGTTCAAACCACAGGAGCAGCTGTGGGGAAGCCTGTGTGGAATTCCTTTGCCTGGGTGGCAGTCTGGCTTTTGCTTTTTGTAGCTCTGGAAACTGAACCTAGGATCTCATGTGTACTAGACAAGTGCTCTCCCACTGAGCTAGACCCCCAGCCCATTGTCCCAGCATTGAAATGTCTTCCTTTTCTTGTCTAAAGATGACCTGAAGTCCTCAACACCTAGCTTACCACAACCATCTTGCCCCTTACCTGTCACAGCATAGGTCACACTAGGTCCTGTGATGCACACGGGCATCTTAGGGATAGGGGACTTATTAAGCGCGCCCCCAGCTAAGCAAAGGAGACGTGGCTTCCTAATGTGATCCCAACATTGAAGGGCAGGAGTGAACCCTACAGCCCATGTACCTAAGTGCCTGCCATCCCAGCTGCTGCTTGGAGAAGGTCCTCCCTATCTTACGGACTTCCAAGTCCTTTTCTGGGCCTCTATTTCACAGCTACTCAATTGTCTTACAGGCCCAAGGAGCTGAATAGACTAGAACACAAGTCAAAGTTGCCTTTAATGAGTGGTTTAAAAAAATAGCTGGAGCTAAATAAAGGGAGGCAGAACAGGGGTCTGTTGGCAGAGCCATGCCCTACTCTTACCCATCCCCCAAACTCTGCTTCCTATCTTGGAGAGGAGGGTGAAGGGACATGAAGTGGCTGAAGCCAGAAGTCCAAGGAGGGGACCTGAGGTGGTAAGAATGGTAAGGAGTGCCAGTGCGGGAAGCACTGGGGGATGTCACTCACACCACAGAGCAGCCCTCGGCTGATGAGCTCAAAACCTGGACCACATCTTCACGGCCTATGGCAGCCAGGGCATCCTGTAGTACTCTGAGGGTGGCTCTGCTTCCTTCTTGGACAGCCCAGTCCCTTAGCAGGGTACAGGCTGGCACCTGGTCACGGGCCATGGTTTCCACAACCTCAGCTTGGTAGCCCAGCTGGCTTGCCAGCCCCTGCCACCCATTGGCAGGTTCACCCAACATCAAGAGCCGCTCAACCTCCTGCTGCTGCTGCTGGGAAATACGCAGGTAAAGTCGGCAACCAGGGTCAGGATTTGGTCCTAGGGTAGGAGATAAGATTCATTAGTGGGTGGTGAGATAGCACTAAAAACAAAGGACTACTGACTCAGGAAAGATGCTCACCCTGGCTGGGGATACAGGGCTCCAGACAATGAGGAGAGTCCACGAAGATACTGCTGTCACCATGCCGATGGTCCCTGTCAGGGTCCCCAAGTTCTACAGTCCGAGCTTTGGCCAACTGTTGTCTTTGCTTATGTGAGCGCCAACTGTAGAGGCCAGAGGGTACTAAGACAAGGAGCTGGCTGGGATTCCAGGTGTGGCGGGGATGCCACAGGGCAGTACCCAGACCACCTACCATTTGAAGGCCACATAGGCAAGCAAACCAAGGACCACAGTAGCTAGGAGGGCACAGTAGACAGGAATGATGTTGCTTGAGGCCCCAGGAGGCTCAGGGGGAAATGAGGAGGTATTGGGGGCCAGGGCTCCTTCAACTCCAGCCCACACTCTTTCCCTGTCCCTACCCTGCCCCTTCAGGGCTGTATCTGTGAAGACAAAGGTGAAGTGGTCAAGATGGGGAGCCACGACAGCCTCACCTAGGCCATTTTGACAGAAAGTTCCGAAAGCAATAGAGCTCACCATGTAGTCAAGGATTCAGCATGGCATTCACAGCTGGCTGGCCGTGAACTGGCAAGAATGGCTCAGCAGACACATGCCACCAAGCATGACACCCTGAGTTTGATCCCCCAGGATGCACGTGGTAGAAGGAGAAAACTGACTTCCACAAGTCCTCTGAACCCCGCATGCTTACTAAATGGTTAACAGTGCCTGTTCCATTCCAGGACCAGAATTCTGTTGCCAGCACACTGGATGGCTCACAACCACTTGGAACCAGGGCTCCAGGGGGTTTGATGCCCTCTTACAGCCTCTGTGGGCAACGTCACATACATACATGTACAGGTACATATGTACCCTTGGCTTGCCATTGTGGGTGATGCAGATGTATCTTGCCATCTTCTGAGGCAGGGTTTCTCTGTGTAACAGTCTTGGCTGTTCTGGAACTCACTCTGTAGACCAGGCTGGCCTAGAACTCACAGAGATCCGCCTGCCTCTGCCTCCCAAGTGCTGGGATTAAAGGCGTGCGCCACCACCCCCCAGCCGCATCCAGACTTGTGTTCTTGCTGTTATACCTTCTAAAATCATGGCAGGAATCTATTCTGAAGCCTTCCTTAATCCCTCTCTCTTCGTGCTGCTGACACCACCTGTTTACATGGCACTGGACTAACTGTGAGACCACATTGATGTGTGTTGTTTTCACAAAACCATAAAAATAAAACTTAACTAGAAGTAAATACTGGTATTCTCTCCAGCCTTAAGTCTAGGGACCAGTCCTTGTACCCAGTGTAGGTTCAAGGAACAGAGCCTGAGAATGAATTGTACATGACCCACTCCACCTCCCAGTCTGCCTGCTGCCTAGGATCTGGGTCACAGAATTCGTACCTGTGTAGACCACACCTTTGCTGTGGCTGACGTTGTGGAGCATGGCTTTGCCAGGCACTGCCTGCTGTGCTGCTTCTTGGTGAAGGTGAGTCGTGCACAGCGCCGAGCTGAAGGAGCCAGAAGACTGTTTTTCTGAGTCCAGTAGGAATTCTGTGGGGATATGAGGAGATTCTCAGATCTGCCATCAGAAGTCCCTGGGGTAGCCTGTCCCCATTACTAGCTCACTCCACAATGATTCACGCCAGGGCTGGAACAGTTTCCCTGTGTCGAGTAGGTGGAGGTGACTGTGCTGGCCCCAATAGCCCAAACTGGTGGGCTGGGGTATTTATTGTTCAGGGTAGAAATCACCCTACCTCAAAGACCTTGGCAAACACCTGGGTTGAGTTCAGGGAATTAAGGAGAGTGCAGATATATGTAGTGTGACCCACCCACCCACACACACCCCAACTCAGGCTGAAGCATCCCTAGGGACCACTGAAAGGCTCATGCTCATACATATCTGCCAAAATCCAACATCCCAAGGTCCCAAGACAGGACCTCCTGTACTGACTAGGCTCCCACTCTTTGCTCCAGTGGCCAGCCCTCTACGGTCAGGCGCTGAAAGGATACCTTAATGGGCTCAACAAGGTCACAGGGCCTGTAGATCCAGGGGACCTAAGGTTAGTCTTTTCTCATTTGGAAGTTTCAGAGAGGGCCACTCAGTCCAGGGGCTCATTTGAACCCTACAGTACTAAATCCGCTGAGACCCACTTCCTGCAGGCTGAGGAGAGGCTCCAGATCCGGAAGGAGGAGAGACCTCCTGAAGAAGGAAGAGATTCAGAAAGGCTCCCCAAGTCCCCAACAGCTAGGGCTTCATAACCAAAGTCTGGCGCATGACGTAGCTGTGGTGTGGCTGTCAGCAGTCCAGTGCTGTAGCCAGGTAAGCCTCAGGGATGGGTGGCCCCTTTTCGGACTATGTACCTTTGTGTCACTTACCACATTGGAAGTAGGGGGCTTCCGGTATCCTAGTTGGTGTGTGGGCCTGTAAACCAGTAGCAGCAGACAGGCCCTGGAATCTACCCCACCCATCCTGAGCTGCTGGAACTTCTCCCGGCCTCCCCACCCATCTCTAAGCCCAAAATTCTAAGACACAATTCAACAGCCCCCGCAGGCCTATACACACCCCAACACACAGGCTGGTACCCGTAGGATCAGGGCACTCGAGGCGGGAGAAAGGAAGTTCTGTCCCCTTCCACCTAGCAAGAACCTGGCTCGTCACTCCCACCCCTCCTGACCTTCGGTGGCCACCCCTCCAAGGGTGCCAGGATCCACTCAGCCGGGAAGACGGCGGGAGTCCCTGGAGAGGGCAGGTTCCGGTCTGCCCAAGAAAGAGTGAGCCAAAGCGCCCCACGCCGGAGCTCGCAGCTCTCAGAGCCACCGAAGCGGCCCGGCCTGGTTGCCAGCGCGCGCAAATGGCATGCGAAAGCCATGCGATGGACCATAAGAGCTGCGAGCCAGGAGCCTGCCCAGGAAGAATGACATGTCAGGCCAGACCGGTGCCCCCGGGGGACTGAGAACGGTGGCCACAGAAGGCCGAGAAGGCGGGCACACGTACACTCCAGAAACCAAGCGGCTACAAAAGTAGGCCAAGTTTATTGCTGAGGATGGGCAGCGAAAGTCACCTTTAGGGATCAAGGCCACGGGTGGTCTTTGTGCTTCACTGAAACATGGGGTTTGAAAGTAGGAATTCCCCCTACCCCACCCCACCCCACCCCAGATTGTGCAAAATATGCAGCTGTGGCCTCTGAGGCCGGCGCTAGGTCTCCCCTCAGCCGGCGAGGGGCGGGACTTCCTGGTGATGCCATCTGCCAATCCCTGAGCTGGAGGGTGGGCCCCGCCCACCCCCTGGTGCAGCAGTCTCGTGGGCAGAGCATCGTGCTCGGGCGGGCGGGGTCTGAGCACCTAGGCGCCAGGTTCAGCGAGCCTCGCCAGGATTGTACTCGGTTTCCCCAGAGGACACCTGGGAGATGCGCCGCGAGGAGCGCCACAGCTTCCGTGCGAACTGGCTGCTGCGCACCTGGCGAAAGGAGGGATGGGATGGGCTGGGATGCGGTGAGCCTGGGAAGCTGCTTCCCACCCTACGGATTCGATGCCCGGCCCGCCTGCTCTAGTCCTCACCTCGGAAGGCTGCCCAGCGCCCACGACGATCAGTTTGCCGTCCTCCAGGCCCACCAGTGCGTGGCTACGCTCCTTGGTCACAGACACACTGCGTACTGGCACTTTCATGGGCAGGGGAGGCACAGCAGGCCGCAGTCTAGAGCCGAGAAATGGACATACAGCGAGTCACGACTGCAAGGAGGTCTCAATCAAACACAGCTAAGAGATAGATGTCTACATTATCCCATGTATCTACTTTGTCCTCATTTTAAGGCTGGCTAAACTCCATCCCGGATTCATAACACTCCCACAACTGTGTAGCTGAGGGAAATCCAGGGCAAGAACCCCTGGGTAACACACCTAGAAGAACGTGCCGCTGGACAGAGTGCACTCCCTATCACCCTGTGCCAACAACTACCACCGAGAGGGGCCAGGAACTAAAAGTGGGGCTCACTTGTTCAAATGGAGGATGTGCAGAGAGCACTGGAGGGTGCCCAGCAGAATAAAGTCCCCTGCCACTGTCAGGGCTGTCGGCTGCTCTGCCAGGGGCAACGACGCCCTCAACCTCCCATTCACCGAGTACAGGTGCAAGGAGTAGGTGACCTGTAAGAAACGGGAGCATCAGCAACTGCCCACCATTCCAGCTGCCCTGCCCCGTTGTCTTTGCTGGGTAACCAGTCCCCGTACCTGGGCCCCAGGGCGTTCACAAGCAGAGCTCTGTACAACAATCTGGCCTTCAGACCCCAGTGCTAGGTGTGACACAGGTCCAGGCAGTGTGGCACCTGGAGGCCTTAGTGCTGCCACAAACTGACCTCGGCGTACAGTGTGTATGATCACAGTTCCATCCTACAGGAGGCAGATTGGGGTGCTGAGCAGAGAACTGAAGGCCTTAGCACACAGCCTCCCCGGGGCACGTGTACACACACCTCAGATCCAGACACAGCCATGTCAAGTTCAGTGCTGATGGCCACGCAGCTCACTGCAGCCTCGTGTCCATATAAAACCTGTACAGGCTTTGGTGCCAGCCCTACTGAAAAACCACCCTGTGGGAAGCAGGGCTGGTTTAAGACTTTATCCAAGCCAGAGGGTTGGAGGGCAATGAATCCCCAGACTTGCTCACAGTAGTAAGAGGAAAGGATGGCAGGAGGACTGCCCCGTACACACCTGCTGCAGAAGACGCCATACCATGCACGTGGTGTCCCGGGAGCCTGAGATGAGGTAGATGCCACAGGTGTCCAGTGCAAGGCAGGTCACTACATCTGCATAACAGGGTTACTGTACCCTCCCAGGTCCAATTCAGAATCCCATTCCACACCTGCAAGTCTCATTTCCCTGCCACCAGGCCTGCTCATACCAAGGTGTCGGCTTAGCTGGTTCAACAGTTTGCCACGGGGTAGTCCAGTCACACGCAGGCTGCCATCCCAATGACCACCACTGAAAAGCAGCTTTCCGTCGGGGGCCACTGCCAGTGCATGCCCACTCATGCCACTGCCTGGCACCCAGGGCCCACTGAGTAGTTTTTGCATCCTAAGCCAATGAGAAGCCGGTACGTGAGGCTGGGCCACAGGCAAGAGATCTAGGCTAACCTTGCAGTTGGTCTTGTATTCTGTTTAGGTGGGGAGGTGTTTCAAGGCATAGGACATGGCCCACCCCTACCCACAGCTCTGTCTTACTTGGGGTTGCCCATGCTGGGATCTTTGCTGAAGGTGAAGTAGTTGTTGATGTTTCGGTCATAGGGCAACCAGCTATGTGTACCCAGCAGCCCACTGGCACTCACAGTCACCTGTTGGGAGGAGTGTGATAAGGTGGTTTAGGGGCAAAGGCAGGAGGGATGAGCTAAGGAGGACCCCTGCCCAGTCCACTTACCAACAGGTCTGAGGAGCCTTGGGTGATGAAGGAGTGGGATTGCCGGTGGGGTACTAGTGCCAACAGCAGAGGTTCGCCTTCACTGATCACCTGTAGAGAAATGTGGAGAGCTGCTGTTGAGGGGCAGCAGAGCCCCAGCTCTTGACCCCCAGGGGCACAGAGTGGGTGTCATACAGAGAGGCAGTGTCAGCAGTATGTGGAAGGGCATCACAGACAGAAGAAGATCTCAACCTTGATTTTCCGTCCACTCCTCCTGGGCCTCAGCCCAGTGACAGGAGAGAAAGTGGGGCCTACGTGAAGATGCAGGAAGGATCCGAGGCCTGATTCCCTCCATCCCGACCCCCGGCTCCACTCAGCTTCTCGGGGGTTGTTCTAGAAATCACAGCTTGTCCTGGCCCTCCTCAAGAGAGCCTCCTTCCTCCTACCGTCATGTCTACAAGATGCCTTTGAATCTGTTAATTCGTGTAGCATTCTCATCTGGCCCCACAAGTGAGAAGGACAGTGCAGTTAAACCCATCTCCCAGAAGAAGCTAAGCTCCTGCCCTCTTTTCACCTCAGCAAAAAAAGCCTTGAGCTGGTCCAGGTTCTGGAAAATGCTAGGTGAGTTAGTGTCCAGACGAGCAAGGCGACTGGCTGCTTCCTCAGCTGAGAGCCGGGGTGGATGTGGCTCCTGGAGATGAGAACTAGTCAGCACCACGACACGAGTGCTCTTTTTTTTTCTTTGAGACAGGGTTTCTCTGTGTAGCTCTGGCTGTCCTGAAACTCTGGAGAACTCTGTAGACCAGGCTGGCCTCAAACTGACAGAGATCCACCTGCCTGTGTGTCCCAAGTGCTGGGATTAAAGGCGTGCACCACCAGTGCCCGGCTGACCCGGGTCCTCTTGACCACTGTATTCCAAGCAGCTCTTACCTTTAGCAGCTGACACGGGGTCTGCCCAAAGTTGCTGATGATGCCTTCCAGAGCCTTCCGTTCCCGTTCATCTGCCACAT